ACAACTCTTATAGACTATTAATGTTTTAAACATTTTCATAATATTTGCAATATTTTATAATACCTTCGTTTCGATTTCATACAGTTTTTTTTCCAATTTCATTTGTTTATGTCTTTTTAATTTTTTGTCCGTTTATATATCAACTTAATTTTACTTTCGAAAAAATAAGCGGCTATATTTTTAAGTCCTAGAGTCAGTCTAGGTGACCTTCATCTCTAATATGTGTGTGACATAAAATTGTGTTGTAGAGTTCTAAGTATATTATAAGTTAAGTAATAACTCTCATTTTTAATTTCCATCCATTATGCTGATCATTTACAATAACTTTTTAAATTTAGGACGTTCAGTTCGATAATACCTTATAATTTTTGGTCCACGAAAGAAGAATTAGATGAAGCATATAACTGTAATTTACCATCAAATGAGTTCTTAACTTGGATCCAGTACAAACATTATCCTGTTGTAATCTGGGAACAATACGAACATTCCCGAGTTATAAAAAGAATATCGAAAAGTTATAATACAACGAGTTACGGAAAGTGGCTGATACCCATAACTTTAAGGGAAATATCATCATTAAATGAAAATATGTGGAAAATATGTTTAAAACCAAATATTGGTTCTTCCGAGTTTCCCACAGCTATTTTAAATAAATCTTGGATGGTAAACATTGAGCAAGCTGGTAAATATACTTAAAAAATTTTACACATTTTATGTTATTATGAAAATAGCAAGAAATACTTCTGCAAATATTTCCATTAAGTCGGATAGTTGATGATCCTGTATAATAACGAAAATATGCAAGATGAGTGTTCCCATTATATGAAACGTAGGAATGCATGTACTCAAAAACACAATATGTGTATTATAGATATAGTAATTTTCAGTATATTTCATCATACAAGTATGGGTGACGTTTCTTTAATATAAAAAAGAAGATAAAATGAAGAAAAGTATTTCTTTCAATGTCAATATTGGAAAATTTATAATACAGTTAAATAAATTAACTTTTTTTTTCATGAATAGGTTACTATCGAATCAAATATGATTCAATAACCTGGGGAAACATTGCAAAATATTTAAATGACACAGCTGGAGATTATAAGAGTATAAGTGTCATCAATCGTGCTAAATTTATTGATGATGCGTTTCATTTGATGATGAATCGTGAGCTCGATGTATCTGCATTTTGGAATCTCACGAAATTCTTATCGCAAGAAACAAATTTCGTAGTGTGGTATCCAATGATTAAAGGGTTTGAATATATGTCGAATTTAATTCCACTTTCCAGAGAAGAAATTGAGTTCGCCGATATTATGGTAACGTCCAATAGATATTATATTTAACAATGAATATTAGATATATCAAAAAGAATTTCTAGTTGAAAATATGTGCATCGAAAGTTTTTGTTAAATTTCCTAGAATTCTAATTAAGATAATCGAAATTCTTGTTAGAATGATATATCAGGTAAAATCTGCAAGAATTATTATTTTTATCAGAATTATTACATTATTTAAAACAATTATTTCTATCAATTATATCAAATAGATTTTCTCGTAAATTTAACTAGAAAATAATAGTTCACCCATATTTCAATTTTCAAAATCATTTCGAACTGATTATTACATCAGAAAGAACGTAGAAAAAGTAATCCCTTTTTGAATTCATTACGATTAATTGTCAGTGCTATCTATAATAATGAGCTTCATTACGATCAATGAAACTTGCGTCATTTAGGAGAAATTAAAAAAATTGTTGGAAAAACCACTGAAGACACTAGGATATGAAGAACATTTGGTGGAAAATGACTTTGTTAAATATTTAAGACAAGAAATTGTGAAATGGGCATGTATTTTCCAATTCGATGAGTGCAAACAATCAGCTTTTCGTAAATTAATGCAACATCTCGGAAATCCTGAAATAAATCCGTAATATTTTTCTATAAGTGCAATTGCTTCATAATTTCATTTTTGTATTTCGAATTATGACAAAATTTCGGTTCACACATATAATAAACAATGTCTTTACATGTGTAAATATATTATTTTTTTTTAAATCTTCAGCCTCTTACCATGGTGGAAGCACTGGACATATTGCAATGGTGTTGCAGTAACTTATTCATTTACGTGGACACATATAGGAGATACATGGTTCAAAGCACGTAATCATACGTTGCTACCCTTCTTAACTTGTTTTAGGAATGCTACTCCAAATACTACTTCTTCATTATTATCGGAACGTTTCCAAGAGGAAGGGCAACAAGACATTACGAATATTCGTTCGTACATAAACATTTTTCATTCAGTTATTGCAAAATATTCTAACACACATGACATACTCGAGATGATATTTAGAAAGCTCGAGATTATGAAACCTGAGTAAGTACATGTTTTATAAATTTACACTTTATTTAACAATAATATATTATATAATAAAACATATATATTGTACGAATTGATTTTATATAGACAAATGAGCTTGTTAACAGCGCTGGTCGATATCATTAACCATGTATATTCTTCCAAATATCTTATTAAGGTAAATAAAATCAATTCTAATTATCTATACACTTATCAACTTCGTTTTAGTTAGGATTCATAACTGTAAGATTAATTTTAATTTCAGTTTTTTACACTTTATCTTTTTCTAATTTTTTGAATTACAAAAAGACTAAACTGAACTGAGAAAAAAGTTTTTTTTATAACCGTCTTCAAAATTTATATTAATAACTGATGCATGATGTATGCAATATGCCACATATGCCTCTGACTGCTCTTTGGTCTTTCAATTTATGAAAAACGACTATTTATTGCATGCAATTTTGTCTGTATGGGACGATAATAAATTATTAAACAAATGTAATTACATTTTAAATCATTTTTTGTTTTAGATTCAAGATGATTATATAAATTCACTTTCCTTTAGAGGTTACATAAATAAATCACAACTTTTGCTAATTCAAAGTAAGATATCCATCCGATTGTCAGAAATTGCCGCTCAAACACTATATTTTCGATTTATAAGCGATCTTTAATCTAATTTAAATAACTAAGTAATATATATAAGTTTTCTTTTATATTAGCTCGAATCAGTGGAAAATTACATAAGCTGATCTTACTGTTGCTGAATATATAGTGTTAATTTTGAATATATTGTTATAATAATTTTGCTATATATTTAGGCTTACACAAATGTTATGATATTGTTTTCATTAAATTTTTACTTACGTCTGTATTTTCCATATGTTAGTCTTGCTTCATTTGCACATTATCGATTATTTTTCGTTATTATAATACTATCGTACCTGTATTATTTAGCATATCATATAATAATAAATATTATTATTCGTTTATAGCACAAAATAATTAATAAATATATCTTAATTATAATGAACTATTACGGTTATTTTATTATCCATGATTCTTACAAATGTCCTCAGAATAAATTTTTAATACTTGTTAATATGGACAGTGCCAATTTGATATATATAATTTACAAAAATTACTGTTCCCTGTATATTATAACTTTTGTATTTCCTGCTTGTTTTCATTATGTTACATATCGTAATATATTATTATTATTTTTACTGTAATTTATAATAAAAATATTAACAACATATTACGATGCGTAACACAATGTCTACTTATTGTTAGTACTTCATATCTATGGAGGTGATGGGCGGAATAAAAGCCTAATTACAAAATCTTGATTTCAATACAAATTAAAATAACCTGCTACTTTTGTGGTATATGTAAAAGAATACAATATTAAAGGAATTTATGTAATATCTTTAAGAAGTTGCATATTACAATACTTCTCTATAACGATCAATATTATATCAAAAATCTACTTGCCGGATAAAGGGCCTCAGTAGAATTGTGTCTTTCCCTGGTGAAAATTACATGCATTTTTTGAGAAGTTACTAAACTGTTATACCAACTTCTCTCTAGTAACTGAGAAGGAAAACTACTTAGGATTCCAATCGGGATATAACGCTTTGTTTGCAGTTACTGTATAAAAGCTGCCTAAAGATGAATCCCTTTATTAAACAGAAACATAACAAATAATGGATAAATTAATTAAATTGATTAACAAGCAAGCCAAGTGCTCATGAAATGGACAAAATAAAACACTATCAAGTTCTTGTCCATTTCCTACTCAGTATTGGCACAACTAATGAGAATACAGTAATATTATACAATAATTGGAAAGGGTTCGGGGGAAAACTGTTTACAATTGTATCAGAGTTTATTCCGACCATCTCCTCAATTATATTATTAAATTCATTATTTTTAGAATTCAAATCTCTCAATTTATAATGACTACAAACAAATGGCTGTATTAATACGGCTACATCTTATTCTCCTTCTCTTCCCCTCTCCATTCTCTCCGACCCTCTCCCCCCTCTCCCCTTCGTCGCTCTTTCTCTCTTTCTGCATTCATCTCTTAATGCAGATCATAAATACTTATGAGAAAATTATAGGAGATTATAGAAAATCCTCGTGGAAATCTTATCAAAATTTAAGGTAGCATGTAATTTATTTACATAATAAAGCATATATTATAAACATATAAATGTTAAACAATTTAAACTTACACGTAAGAATATCTTAAATGGCTCAAATAGTTAAAAATGCGAAAAATTTTCCTAAACTGTCACTGTGCATTAGAAGTATGTCAATAGTTCGATAGCAGAAAAAATCAATCGTTCGCATAAATTGGTCAAAGGTGTCACCTATATTAAATTTGTATTATATCGAAAAGAGAATCGATTAAAATTTCGTCAACTAATATCGCACGTTCACGTTAAATGAAACGGTTTTGTATTTACAATGTAATCCGTTGTCGATGACATTAGTCTGTTGAGACATCTCGGAAGAATAACATCGCAGCAATCAGAAACATTCTGTTATGATCTACATTTCCGTTATTTTTATCGTATGAATATCAATTAGGAGTCTGAATTATACTCTAATAGCACAATTTAATTACACAGGGTAAGTATCTAAAAATATGATACATTAATTACTTGCAGAGTGCGTGCTGCATAATTTTTTAAATATTGACATTGTGACAATTCTATTTGACTTTAAACTAAACGTTACTTACGTAAGCATATGTTCGTACCTTAATAATGTACTATTAAATGAAATTTTTAGTTAACATTTATATGATAATCATGAGATTTTTTATTAATTAACAGAAAAATAAACATTTTGTATTCACAAACGTTTTAAATGAGAAACATTTTTTAAAATAAATAATAATATAAATTTTTTTAGAAAATAACGTTGTAACGATATCTTTAACGTAATCGCAACAGTGCTAAAAATATTACCGAATTAAAAAATGTTTAGTGTTATTCTTAATAATAGATACAATCGTATCTGTACGCGTTTACAATTACAAAACGAATTTAATAACGTCTCTCTCTCCATCTCTCTCTCTCTCTCCCCCCTCTCACCCCCTCTCTTTCCCCCTCACTCTCTAACTCTCTTTCTCTCTCTAACACATGCACAATAACAATGTGCATTATTATTATTTGTACTATATCATTTCTTTAAACTTTTCGACAGATATATATATTTAGAACGACAACTAAGGCAACATGAATTTAGCACAGATAAGTAATAGCGTAATATTTATTCTGACAATAGCTGTTCTTAATAGTGAAGAACAAAACAATTTGAACATTACGAATTACGTAAATTTTTTTCATTACGTGATACCAGTGCACTACTGCATACAGCTCGACTACATAATTTATGAACACATTGATGATAAACTTGATAATATTTGGGAAGAGATAGCTGGTTTAAAAAATGAATATGACTCATTTCTCTTTCGCGGTAAAACTAGTACAACTATTAATATCCTACGGTCGACTAACTATATAAGTTTGAATCAACTAAAGCTGATAATAAGTCTTGCGAATATAACTTTGACTACAAAGAACGCCATAATTTACGTATTGAATAAATACCAATACAGCAAAAACGTATTAGGATTTCCTTTACTCTATATGTTACTTCCGGGACTATACACATTCAAAATACAATTTTTTGGTCATCTAAGGGAAAACCATGAAGACAGTTTCTTTAAAAATGTTTCCAAAGGAAATATCGTAACGTGAGTAAATTATAAATAGTTAAAAAAATATACGTATACATGATGTGATATATAATTATTTCTTATTTTTGTTCAAAATGTAATTCGTACCAATTTTTAATGATACAGTTTGAATTCAATCAAATTATAAAGATTCATTATTTTATTTAAAATATAAGAATTATGAAATTGTAATAGTTTGTTGATAGCTCCATACATTCAAGAGCGGAATGGAATGAGACAGTTATTTCCTTGTTGGGACCAACCGCAATTGAGGGCCACATTTAACATTTCGATAAAACATCCTCGCTATTATTCAGCTTTATCAAATATGCCGACTAAGTTCATGACCTATGATAATTATACAGATTCTTTACGCACATACTTCTATATTACGCCTCAAATGAGCACTTTCCAAATTGGGATAGTCATGACTGAGTATCAATCCATTAAAATTAATAAAAACATTACTTTGTGGTGCGATTGTGATTCAGAAGAACGTCGTCCGAAATTTGAGTTTGCACGGAGAATCATGAACAATATTACATTGCAGTTAAAATCTGAATTTGGTGGGATAATTATTCCAAAAATGGATCACATTGCGATCCCAAATTTTCCACAAGACAGCATCTCGAAATTGGGGCTCATATTTCATTCGTAATGCATACATTTAAATATAAAATATGTTAAACGAAAAAATAATTTGCATATATTCAAGCATTGAAAAGTCTAAAATTGAAAAAATTATATATTTAATAACTCTCTACCATTATCATATAAGATGATTCGTATACAATTTATATTTTAAAATAAAAATAGAATAATTGTAATTGCATTTCTTCTATAAAATCAATTGTATTTTTTTCATCAACTGTGCATAAAATACCAGAATATGTGTATAAGAAAATTAACAGTTGTGAGATTTTTCACATTATTCCATGCCAAAATACGCTAGCATAAAGTATTAAATATTTTGTATGCTACATTGATATATTAATAATTGCTTTTAAATATCTTAAAATAAATATTATAAAATAGTTCATGTATAAATAACTAAAAGTATCCATATGTTTAAAAATATATACAGACTATTTGAAAAATACAAGCAATTAGGAAACGTCTTTATGCTTCCTCAATTAATCTTGATAATTATACCGAATTGGGAAGCATTTCCCTATGACCATCATGGTAACAAATGTCAAGGTCAAGATTATGAGGAGCCTCACTTATTCAGTATATTTACCGTAATCCATTTTACTGTGTGATATCTTCTTCTGTTCTAAACATCTACATATAAAACACTTTTTCATATATTTATATAAATTTTATTCATTATTGCATGTCTCACGTTATACGAATTATCTTGTGATATCAAATGTTAGATGACTGTTGTACTTTATTATTAAAAAACAAGCAAAAGAGAATCCACTTTTCTAACAATATTAATAAGGAAAGTAAATATTTAACAAGATGTTACACATTTAATGTCAAACTGAATCTAGTAAAATACAAACAATTTGATCCCATTATAATTTACTATATTCAATATTACATATAATATTAAATGTCAAATACTTTATACACATTACTGAAAACATATTAAATCGGAAAGTGTGAACAAGTAATACGTTTTATGTAAAAAGAAAGAAAAAAATTATTGCATGTTAGACCAATTATAATAATTTTTAGGGAAGCCAATCTTATTTATGATGAAACATTGGATACAGTTATACGTAAAATGGAAGTCGCACGTTTAATAGCACCTAAAATATCATATCAATGGTTTAGTAACCTCCTCAGTTCAGACTGGTCTCATTTGTGGTTACACGATGCTCTTGCTACTATGTTCGGAGAAGAAGCTGTTGTTAAGGTTTTTCTATTTATTAATATCGCAATATGAAAGAGGGGTGATCCCGATTGATCACGGCTCGATAGGACACCACCGCAATCAGAGCGACCGGTGCTTATATAGGAGCTTTGTAGTCTCAAACGCTGTGAATGGCTCGTATCCAATTGAGCCGTGTCCAAAAGGGTGCCACTCCAAAATCGATATATCATATGATGTTCGCGACGATATACTTTTTAGTAGGAATAATTATATTATGTAAAAATTAAAAAAAAACTCTTAACAATCTTTTCAATTAAACTTTAAAAAAATATCACAATTTGAATCATATAATGTCACAACTGTGTGAAAACTTTTTTAATAGATGTGGATTCAAGCGTTATTTCTAAACTGAATTATGAAAACTGTAAAATGATTTTAATAATAAGGCACAAACGTGCACATGTATTGTATATAGTGTGCAGTAGCACACGTTAACTCAAAATGAAGACATGTCTGGTACTTTAACGTTTATGCATAATTATGTAACTTTATTTCTAGAGCTTCAATAATTCTGAAATTTTGGATCTCTTCATAATTCAAAATCAATACGAATCTCTTCATCTGGATTCTCATTTTAATATGAATCCTGTGGAAACCACTAGATCATCGGACATTAATTCAATTTTCAGTTTTCCTCGTTATATGAAAGGTGAAAATAATTGAATAACCTTTTAATAGAAATTTATATACGTACATATACTATAAAAAAAAAGGCAGGAAAAGATTAGTTGGAAAAAATTCAGTTACCATGTATTAATATATTTCTTATTATAGCAATAATTGTTTTACGGATGTTCCGAAGTGCTATTACTGATGAAGTGTTTCGAAATAATGTCCATGCATATATAAGCAGACAGTGAGTGAAGATAATACAAAAATTAATAACATACATGTATAATATACATGAGTGTGCGTGTGTGTGTGTGAGTGTGTGTGTGATTGTGATAAATATATCTTACAACTCTTATAGACTATTAATGTTTTAAACATTTTCATAATATTTGCAATATTTTATAATACCTTCGTTTCGATTTCATACAGTTTTTTTTCCAATTTCATTTGTTTATGTCTTTTTAATTTTTTGTCCGTTTATATATAAACTTAATTTTACTTTCGAAAAAATAAGCGGCTATATTTTTAAGTCCTAGAGTCAGTCTAGGCGACTTTCATCTCTAATATGTGTGTGACATAAAATTGTGTTGTAGAGTTCTAAGTATATTATAAGTTAAGTTATAACTCTCATTTTTAATTTCCATCCATTATGCTGATCATTAACAATTTCTTTTTAAATTTAGGACGTTCAGTTCAATAATATCTTATAATTTTTGGTCCACGAAAGAAGAATTAGATGAAGCATATAACTGTAATTTACCATCGAATGAATTCTTAACTTGGATCCAGTACAAACATTATCCTGTTGTAATCTGGGAACAATACGAACATTCCCGAGTTATAAAAAGAAATATCGAAAAGTTATAATACAACGAGTTACGGAAAGTGGCTGATACCCATAACTTTAAGGGAAATATCATCATTAAATGAAAATATGTGGAAAATATGTTTAAAACCAAATATTGGTTCTTCCGAGTTTCCCACAGCTATTTTAAATAAATCTTGGATGGTAAACATTGAGCAAGCTGGTAAATATACTTAAAAAATTTTACACATTTTATGATGTTATGAAAATAGCAAGAAATACTTCTGCAAATATTTCCATTAAGTCGGATAGTTGATGATTTTGTATAATAACGAAAATATGCAAGATGAGTGTTCCCATTATATGAAACGTAGGAATGCATGTACTCAAAAACACAATATGTGTATTATATATAAATATAGTAATTTTCAGTATATTTCATCATACAAGTATGGGTGACGTGTCTTTAATATAAAAAAAGAAGATAAAATGAAGAAAAGTATTTCTTTCAATGTCAATCTTGGAAAATTTATAATACAGTTAAATAAATTAACTTTTTTTTTCATGAATAGGTTACTATCGAATCAAATATGATTCAATAACCTGGGGAAACATTGCAAAATATTTAAATGACTCAGCTGGAGATTATAAGAGTATAAGTGTCATCAATCGGGCTAAATTTATTGATGATGCGTTTCATTTGATGATGAATCGTGAGCTCGATGTATCTGCATTTTGGAATCTCACGAAATTCTTATCGCAAGAAACAAATTTCTTAGTGTGGTATCCAATGATTAAAGTGTTTGAATATATGTCGAATTTAATTCCACTTTCCAGAGAAGAAATTGAGATCGCCGATATTATGGTAACGTCCAATAGATATTATATTTAACAATGAATATTAGATATATCAAAAAAAATTTCTAGTTGAAAATATGTGCATCGGAAGTTTTTGTTGAATTTCCTAGAATTCTAATTAAGATAATCGAAATTCTTGTTGGAATGATATATCTGGTAAAATTTGCAAGAATTATTATTTTTATCAGAATTATTATATTATTTAAAATAATTATTTCTATCAACTATATCAAATAGATTTTCTCGTAAATTTAACAAAAAAATAATAGTTCACCCATATTTCAATTTTCAAAATCATTTCGAACTGATTATTACATCAGAAAGAACGTAGAAAAAGTAATCCCTTTTTGAATTCATTACGATTAATTGTCAGTGCTATCTATAATAATGAGCTTCATTACGATCAATGAAACTTGCGTCATTTAGGAGAAATTAAAAAAATTGTTGGAAAAACCTCTGAAAACACTAGGATATGAAGAACATTTGGTGGAAAATGACTTTGTTAAATGTTTAAGACAAGAAATTGTGAAATGGGCATGTATTTTCCAATTCGATGAGTGCGAACAATCAGCTTTTCGTAAATTAATGCAACATCTCGGAAATCCTGAAATAAATCCGTAACATTTTTCTATATTTGCAATATCTGCATAATTTCGTTTTCGCATTAAAATTATGACAAAATTTCGGTTCAAACATATAATCAACGATGATTATCAATGTTTTTACATGTGTGAATATATTATTTTTTTTTAAATCTATAGCCTCTTACCATGGTGGAAGCACTGGACATATTGCAATGGTGTTGCAGTAACTTATTTATTTACGTGGACACTCATAAGAGATACATGGTTCAAAGCACGTAATCATAAGTTGCTACCCTTCTTAACTTGTTTTAGGAATGCTACTCCAAATACTACTTCTTCATTATTATCGGAGCGTTTCCAAGAGGAAGGGCAACAAGACATTACAAATATTCGTTCATACATAAACATTTTTCATTCAGTTATTGCAAAATATTGTAACACACATGACATACTCGAGATGATATTTAGAAAACTCGAGATTATGAAACCTGCGTAAGTACATGTTTTATAAATTTATACTTTATTTAACAATAATATATTATATAATAAAACATATATTTGTACGAATTGATTTTATATAGACAAATGAGCTTGTTAACAGCGCTGGTCGATATCATTAACCATGTATATTCTTCCAAATATCTTATTAAGGTAAATAAAATCAATTCTAATTATCTATACACATACCAATTTCCTTTTAGTTAGGTTTCATAACTGTAAGATTAATTTTAATTTCAGTTTTTTACACTTTATCTTTTTCTAATTTTTTGAATTACAAAAAGACTAAACTGAACTGAGAAAAAAGTTTTTTTTATAACCGCCTTCAAAATTTATATTAATAACTGGTGCATGATGTATACAATATGCCACATATGCCTGTGACTGCTCTTTGGTCTTTCAATTTATGAAAAACGACGATTTATTGCATGCAATTTTGTCTGTATGGGACAATAATAAATTATTAAACAAATGTAATTACATTTTAAAATATTTTTTGTTTTAGATTCAAGATGATTATATAAATTCACTTTCCTTTAGAGGTTACATAAATAAATCACAACTTTTGCTAATTCAAAGAAAGATATCCATCCGATTGTCAGAAATTGCCGCTCATACACTATATTTTCGATTTATAAGCGATCTTTAATCTAATTTAAATAACTAAGTAATATATATAAGTTTTCTTTTATATTAGCTCGAATCAGTGGAAAATTACATAAGCTGATCTTACTGTTGCTGAATATATAGTGTTAATTTTGAATATATTGTTATAATAATTTTGCTATATATTTAGGCTTACACAAATGTTATGATATTGTTTTCATTAAATTTTTACTTACGTCTGTATTTTCCATATGTTAGTCTTGCTTCATTTGCACATTATCGATTATTTTTCGTTATTATAATACTATCGTACCTGTATTATTTAGCATATCATATAATATTATTATTCGTTTATAGCACAAAATAATTAATAAATATATCTTAATTATAATGAACTATTACGGTTATTTTATTATCCATGATTCTTGCAAATGTTCTTAGAATAAACTTTTAATACTTGTTAACATGGACAGTGCCCAATTTGATATATTCAATTTACCAAAATTACTGTTCTCTGTATATTGTACCTTTTGTATTTCCTGCTTATTTTCATTATGTTACATATCGTAATATATTATTTTTATTTTTACTATCATTTATAATAAAAATATTAATAACATATTACGATGCGTAACACAATGTCTACTTATTGTTAGTACTTCATATCTATGGAGATGATGGGCGGAATAAAAGCCTAATTACAAAATCTTAATTTCAATACAAATTAAAATAACTTGCTAATTTTGTAGTATACGCAAATGAATATAATATTAAAGGAATTTATGTAATGTCTTTAAGAAGTTACATATTACAATACTTCTCTATTACGATCAATATTATATCAAAAATCTACTTGCCGGATAAAGGGCCTAAGTAGAATTGTGTCTTTCCCTGGTGGAAATTTCATGCATTTTTTGAGTAGTTACTAAACTGTTATGCCAACTTCTCTCTAGTAAATGAGAAGGAAAACTACTCAGGATTTCAATCGGGATATAACGCTTTGTTTGCAGTTACTGTATACAAAAGCTGCCTAAAGATGAATACCTTTATTAAACAGAAACATAACAAATAATGGATAAATTAATTAAATTGATTAATAAGCAAGCCAACTGCTCATGAAATGGACAAAATAAAACACTATCAAGTTCTTGTCCGTTTCCTACTCAGTATTGGCACAACTAATGAGAATACAGTAATATTACACAATAATTGGAAAGGGTTTGGGGGAAAACTGTTTACAATTGTATCAGAGTTTATTCCCACCATCTCCTCAATTATATTATTAAATTCATAAGTTTTAGAATTCAAATCTCTCAATTTATGATGACTACAAACATATAGCTGTACTAATACGGCTACATCTTAATCTCCTTCTCTCCCCCCTCTCCCCCCCACTCCCCCCTCTCTCCTTCGTCGCTCTTTCTCTCTTTCTGCATTCATCTCTTAATGCAGGTCATAAATACTTATGAGATAAATATAGGAGATTATAGAAAATCCTCGTGGAAATCTTATCAAAATTTTAGGTAGCATGTAATTTATTTACATAATAAATCATATATTTTAAACATTTAAATGTTAAACAATTTAAACTTACACGTAAGTATATCTTAAATGGCTCAAATAGTTAAAAATGCGAAAAATTTTCCTAAACTGTCACTGTGCATTAGAAGTATGTCAATAGTTCGATAGCAGAAAAAATCAAACGTTCGCATAAATTGGTCAAAGGTGTCCACCTATATTAAATTTGTATTATATCGAAAAGAGAATCGATTAAAATTTCGTCAACTAATATCGCACGTTCACGTTAAATGAAACGGTTTTGTATTTACAATGTAATCCGTTGTCGATGACATTAGTCTGTTGAGACATCTCGGAAGAATAACATCGCAGCAATCAGAAACATTCTATTATGATCTACATTTCCGTTATTTTTATCGTATGAATATCAATTAGGAATCTGAATTATATTCTAATAGCACAGTTTATTTACACAGGGTAAGTATCTAAAAATATGATACATTAATTATTTGCAGAGTGCATGCTGCATAATTTTTTAAATATTGACATTGTGACAATTCTATTTGACTTTAAACTAAACGTTACTTACGTAAGCATATGTCCGTACCTTAATAATGTACTATTAAATGAAATTTTTAGTTAACATTTATATGATAATCATGAGATTTCTTATTAATTAACAGAAAAATAAACATTTTGTATTCACAAACGTTTTATCTAAGAAACATTTTTTTAAATAAATAATAATATAAATTTTTTTAGAAAATAACGTTGTAACGATATCTTTAACGTAATCGCAACAGTGCTAAAAATATTACCGAATTAAAAAATGTTTAGTGTTATTCTTAATAATAGATACAATCGTATCTGTACGCGTTTACAATTACAAAACGAATTTAATAACGTCTCTCTCTCCATCTCTCTCTCTCTCTCCCCCCTCTCACCCCCTCTCTTTCCCCCTCACTCTCTAACTCTCTTTCTCTCTCTAACACATGCACAATAACAATGTGCATTATTATTATTTGTACTATATCATTTCTTTAAACTTTTCGACAGATATATATATTTAGAACGACAACTAAGGCAACATGAATTTAGCACAGATAAGTAATAGCGTAATATTTATTCTGACAATAGCTGTTCTTAATAGTGAAGAACAAAACAATTTCAACATTTCGAATTACATACATTTTCCTAATCATTACGTGATACCAGTGCACTACTGCATACAGCTCGACTACGTAAACCCAAATTATGAACACACTGATAAACTTGATAACATTTGGATAGAGATGTTTGATTTAAAAAATGAATATGACTCATTTCTCTTTCGCGGTAAAACTAGTACAACTATTAATATCCTACAGTCGACTGACTATATAAGTTTGAATCAACTAAATCTGATAATAAGTCTTGCGAATACAACTTTGACTACAAAGAACGCCATAATTTACGTATTGGGTAAATACATATACAGAAAACAAACGAACGTATTAGGATTTCTTTTAGACTATATGTTACTTCCTGGACTCTATACATTCAAAATACAATTTTTTGGTCATCTAATAGAAGACAGTTTCTTTAAAAATGTTTCCAAAGGAAATATGGTAACGTGAGTAAATTATAAATGGTTAAAAATATACGTATACAATTTTTATTTATAATTATTTCTTATTTTCATTCAAAATGTAATTCATACCAATTTTTAATGATATTGTTTGTATTCAATCAAATTATAAACATTCATTATTGTATTTAAAATATAATAATTATCAAATTCTAATAGATTGTTGATAGCCCCATACATTCAAGAACGGAATGGAATGAGACAGTTATTTCCTTGTTGGGACCTACCGCAATTAAAGGCCACTTTTAACATTTCAATAAAATATCCTATGTATTATTCAGTTTTATCAAATATGCCGACAGATACAAAGTACCCGTACCACACAAATTATAGTGATTTATTTCACAAATACTTCTATATTACGCCTCCGATGTCAACTTTCCAAATTGGGATAGTCATGACTGAGTATCAATCCATTAAAATTAATAAAAACATTACTTTGTGGTGCGATTGTTATTCAAAAGAGCGTCGTCAGAAATTTGAGTTTGCACGGAGAATCATAAACAATATTACATTGCAGTTAAAATCTGAATTTGGTGGGATAAATATTCCAAAAATGGATCACATTGCGATTCCAAATTTTCCACAAGACGGCATATCGAAATGGGGGCTCATATTTTATTCGTAATGCATACATTTCAATATAAAATATGTTAAACGAAAAAATAATTTGCATTTATTTAAACATTTAAAAGTTTAAAATTGCATAAATTATATATTTAATGACTATTATTATCGTACAAGGTGATTCGTGTAGAATTTATATTTTAAAATAAATATAGAATAATTGTAATTGTATTTCTTTTCTAAAATCAATTGTGTTTTTTTCATGAACTGTGCATAAAAATATCAGAATATGAGTATAAGGAAATTATCAGTTGCGAGATTTTTCACATTATTCCAATATACGATAGAATAGAAACCATTACATATTTTGTACGTTACATTGATATTTTAATAATTCGTCTTGAATATCTCAAAGTATAAAATAGTTCATGTATAAATAACTAAAATAACTAATATGATTGAAAATATATACAGACAATTTAAAAAATAAAAGCGATTAGAAAATGTCTTTTCGCTTCCATAAACCTTGATAATTACACCGAATCAGAGAGCCTTTCCCTGTGACACCAAATGTCAGAGTCAAGTTTTTGGCTGGTTTACCTATTTAGTATATTCACCGTAACCTATTTTAGTGTGCGATATCTTCTCCGGAGATTAAACATCTATACTTATAAAAACACTTTCATATATTTTTATAAATTTTATTTACAACTGCATCTGTCACATTACACGAATTACATTGTATATCAAGTGATAGACATTTGTTGTACTTTATTAAGAAACACGAAAAGCAAATCCACATTCCTAACAAAATTAATAAGGAAAGTGTATCTTTAACGAGATATTACATTCAACATTAATGTCAAACTGAATATAGTAAAATACAAATAATTTGATCCTATTGTAATTTACGATATACATAATTATATATAATTTATAATATCAAATATCTTGTACACATTATTAAAAACAAAGAAAAGTGTAAAAAAAGTGTTACGTTTTATTTAAAAAAGAACCATAAAAACGTATAGCATGTTAGATTAATTATAACACTGTTTAGGGAAGCCAATCTTATTTATGATGAAACATTGGATCCAGTTATGCGCAAAATGGAAATTGCACGTTTAATAGCACAAAAAATAGCATATCAATGGTTTAGTAACCTCCTCAGTTCAGATTGGTCTTATTTGTGGTTACACGATGCTCTTGCTACTATATTCGGAGAAGAAGCTGTTGTTAAGGTTTTTCTATTTATTAATATCGCAATATGAAAGAGGGGTGATCCCGATCGACCACGGCTCGATAGGGCCGTCAATCAGAGCGACCTGTGCTTAGGAGCTTTGTAGTCTCAAACGCTGTGAATGGCTCGTGTCTAATTGTGCCGTGTCCAACTGGGTGCCACTCCAAAATCTATATATTATGTTATTATGCAACTTTAATTTTAGAGCTTCAATAATTCTGAAATTTTGGATCTCTTCATAATTCAAAATCAATACGAATCTCTTCATCTGGATTCTCATTTTAATATGAATCCTGTGGAAACCACTAGATCATCGGACATTAATTCAATTTTCAGTTTTCCTCGTTATATGAAAGGTGAAAATAATTAAATAACCTTTTAATAGAAATTTATATACGTACATATATTATAAAAGAAAAGGCAGGAAAGATTAGTTGGAAAAAATTCAGTTACGATGTATTAATATATTTCTTATTATAGCAATAATTGTTTTACGGATGTTCCAAAGTGCTATTACCGATGAAGTGTTTCGAAATAATATATGTAAGCAGACAGTGAGTAAAGATAATGCAAAAATTTATTATATACTTGTACGATATACATGTATGTGTGTGTGTGCATGTGTGTGTGTATGTATGTGTGTGTGTGTGTGATTGTGTTAAATATATATCACAACTCTTATAGATTATTAATGTTTTAAACATTTTCATAATATTTACAATATTTTATAATTCCTTCGTTTCGAATCCGTCCATTTTTTTTCCAATTTCATTTGTTTATGTCTTTTTAATTATTTGTCCGTTTACATATTAACTTAATTTTACTTTCAAAAAATAAGCGGCTATATTTTTAAGGCTTAGAGTCTAGGCGACTGTCATCTCTAATATGTGTGTGACATGGAATTGTGTTGTATAATTCTATGTATATTATAAGTTAAGTTATAACTCTCATTTTTATTTTCCATCCGTTATGCTCATCATTAACAATAACTTTTTAAATTTAGGACGTTCGTTTCAATAATATCTTATAATTTTTGGTCCATGAAAGAAGAATTAGATGAAGCATATAACTGTAATTTACCATCGAATGAGTTCTTAACTTGGATCAAGCACAAACATCATCCTGTTGTATTCTGGGAACAATTCGAACATTCCCGAGTTACAAACAGAATATCGCAACGTTATAATACAACGAGATACGGGAAGTGGTTGATACCCATAGCTTTAAGGCAAATATCATCATTAAATGAAAATATGTGGAAAATATGTTTAAAACCAAATATTGATTCTTCCGAGTTTCCCACAACTTTTTTAAATGAAGTTTGGATGGTAAACTTTCAGCAAGCTGGTAAATGCACAAAAAAAATTCAACAATTTTTATGTAATTATGAAAATAGTAAGAAATACTTCTGGAAATATTTTCACATTAAGTGGTATAGTCGATGTTCCACTAAAATAATGAAAATATGCATGATGAGTGTTCTCATTATATGAAACGTAGGAATGCATGTACCCAAAACACAGTATGTCTATTATAGATACAGTAATTTTCAGTATATTTCATTGTACAAGTATGTATTAAGTCTCTTTAATCTAAAAAAGAAGATGAAACGAAGAAAAGTATTTCTCTCAGTATCAATCTCGTAAAATATGTAGTACATTTCTATAAAATACTTTTCTTGTTAATGAATAGGATACTATCGAGCCAAATATGATTCAGTAACCTGGGGCATCATTGCAAAACATTTAAATGATACAGCTGGACATTATGAGGATATAAGTGTCATCAACCGTGCTAAAATCATCGATGATGCGTTTCATTTAATGATGAATCGTCAGCTCAATGTATCAGAATTTTGGAATCTTACGCAATTCTTATCGCAAGAAACAAATTTTGTAGTATGGTATCCAATGCTTAAATTGTTTGAATATATGTCGAGTATATTTCCACTTTTGAAAGGAGAA